GCCACTGGGGGACCAAAACAATGAACAGCTTCCTCTATCTAGCATGACTAGCGGAGAATCATATCGGAAGTAGAGGTCTGATAAAGCTATTTTAAAACTACAAAACAATGCTTCATTTTGTTAGGGGAATGAATAATCAAGTTTCATATCTAACACTCCTACATTTTGAGTACACAAAGTTACTTCGGGTTATTATTGTAACTGAATATTTAATTATTATTTCATTTTTGTAGCTTCGCGTTGTAAATGTAACACCTCAGTTGACAAAACTTTAAAGTAAATGACGTGCAGAAGAAATAACACGCGGATATTCTGAGTAAGAAATGCGATTTCTTAACACTCGAAAAATCAAATAATTTGCATTTTATGAAATTTATCGAAATGGATATTTGAGTATAAATGATAATTTTCCTAAAACATAAAGTAGCAAACGGCACTATTTCAAAGCATATACATATCATAAATGCATATTCTTTAAATGAAAATACTCATTTTAACTTCAGTACAACATAAAGAGACAGGTCACTTGATGTAGACGTAGTATTGAAACTCTCCGAGAGATTTAGGTTTTGTTTTTTTGTATTATAATCTATAGCTTATGAAACAACTGGTAGGTTTCAAATAGTTGATATTCCTAATTGACTAATAGCGGATAATGGTCTGCGCCGCTAGAAGCAGTTTATCAGGCGTAACCAGCCATCGAAATAATAATGATATATATAGTTAGTTACTAACGTTATGTACTCAGCACAATAAAATTAATATAGAGTAAGTGGTAGCTGTAAGTGCTTAATATGGAAATAACAGTTCGCTTGGAAAAGGGGATTATTTATCACTGAGAAAAAAGGTGCTTTTGTTTTCGGTTTGTACTTAAGCACAAAGTTAAACAATAGGCTATATGCGCTTTGCCAATTAAGAGGCCCGGCATGGCCAGGTGGATAAGGCGCTCGACTCACAATCTGAGGGTCGCGGGTTCGAATCCGCACCCCACCAAACATGCTCGCCCTTTCAGCCGTGGGGGCGTTATAGTGTGACGGTCAATCCCACTATTCGTTGGTAAAAGAGTAGCCCAAGAGTTGGCGGTGGGTGGTGATGACTAGCTGCCTTCCCTCTAGTCTTGCACTGCTAAATTAGGGACGGCTAGCGCAGATAGCCCCCGTGTAGCTTTGCGCGAAATTCCAAAACCAACCAACCAACCAATTAAGAGTATAGAAACCTGTATTTTAGCGTATACGTCTTCGATGTTACTGCTGAATCACTGGATAAATATTTTCTAAATCTTTTATTATAAATTTTGTAGCTAAACAATAAATTTGATGCATTAAGTTTTTTTGTTGTTTTTTTTACATTATATAACACACTATAAGAAATTGATTTGAGCGTAAAAGTTACAGGCTTTAAATCCGAAAATTTGAAATGCCTGAAAGACTAACTCAATTAATATGATTTCCTTCAATCCTCGGCCCGGCATGACCATGTGGCGCTCGACTCGCAATCTGAGGGTCACGGGTTCGAATCCCCGTCCCACCAAACATGCTCGCCCTTTCAGCCGTGGGGGCGTTATAATGTGACGGTCACTATTCGTTGGTAAAAAGAGTAGCTCAAGAGTTGGCGGTTGGTGGTGATGACTAGCTGCCTTCCCTCTAGTCTTACACTGCTAAATTAGGGACGGCTAGCGCAGATAGCCCTCGTCTAGCTTTGTGCAAAATTCAAAACAAACCAAACCAGATAAACAACCTGATTAGGATCCAGTTTCGTGGAAGATTAACTCTTCCTTTAATGGTTGGGTCTTCAGAAGATGTTTTGAAACGGTTATGGGATAACTATCAAAAGCTAAAGTGTTAAGACTCTAAATTTTCGACCACCACTTAACACTAGTAGTTCTTAGTTTACCGTTATATCTTTGATATCCGTTCATGTCCATGTAAGAACGTTCTTCAGTTCATAAAAATATACACCGTACTACAGATCCATAGCAACTTATCAGGAATAAGAACGATTTGTTAAAAATAATAATAAAAACAACGTTTAGATTTCGAAAGCAAATTATGATAAAAATATAACCATTATTTTGAATTATATCGATAGTCAGTAAATATATAGTTCCTTTTGTTTTTATTCTACTACTGGCACTTGTTTCGTTTTGGCATGGTCATAGTTGGCTGATCATAAAATTCCACCATCTGTGTCGAAGATTATTATTAATTGTGGCTTAAACTATAGCTCTATTTTAATTATCTGCTTTATACTGCATCAAAATCATGAACAACAACAAAAAAATAATGTTTTTAAGTTATTTTAATTTGTATGCTATACATTATCAAGAAAAGGTAGTTTAAAATTAGCTGCTCACGGAAATCTATAATTCAAAAAGTAAATATATCCTTTTATAATATAGCTTTAACAAGTGCCATGTGTCATGCAAATCTCCTACAGCTCTACAGTGATGAAAATTCGCATATGTTTTACTGCAAAAAATATTCTCTCTCGCTCTAATGCTAATCATTATTCAACAGCTGCACTTTGACGTTATGTTTTCCTGTTTCTCACAGGATTGAGAACAAACCAAGTACTCCAGGTCCGCTTTCTTCTCCTGTGATCCAGAGATCTGTGGTACTACAGGCCTTGCTAGAAGAGGAATCAAAAGGTTAGTATTATTTATATGCCTGTTTATAAGATCTGTTAATGTATTTTATATACATAATTTCTATATAGAATTTCGGGATGTTCGAATATAAATAAAAGAAAATACTATTCGTCATAGAGCAATAATTCTTGATGAATTCACTAATAATAAGATTGTCCCAGAAATCCATGTGCATCGGAAATGGTCGTGAGAGGACGTTATCTACTCAATATGGCCACCATTCATGTCAACGATAGCCTGCATTTATAAGATGACGCCATACACAGACGTGGCTATCTAATAGTAAATATGTTGTGGGATGGCCCACCTGATTTCTGGCTATGGTACACTTACATTTAGATGTGGGCTGTGGAGCGACTGCTCTACTGGTATCCATGTTGAAATTTGCACAGTTTCGTTCACCTGTGAAGGATGGAAGCTACTGTTGACATGAATGGTTGCTACACTGAGCGAATAGCGTCCTCTGGTGCTCACTTATTCTTACTTTATATGGTCTCATTGATATATCCATCAGATGACAAATAGCATTAATTTTATTGATGTTCAAACATGCCAAGTAACTTTATAAGAACTATGTTTTATTTTATATCTCATCGATATGGTATACTGGGATGACCTTAACGAAACAATGCATTTACAACCAATTGTTTGGTCATTATTTTTTTTTTCTGTAAAGGGAAAAAAAACAGCTTTTGTGAATACTAGTCTAAAGTTATCATTTTCTCACTGTATCCTTAATCATTCTTTACATTATTTATCTATATTAGTACACTATTTCGAAATTACATTTTTTCAAAAACAACCTCTAATGTACTAGAGTATTATAAAAGGGACACTATTTACTGACCGATTACATATGTTAGATAATGGATGTGAAATGAACTGAGTTCTCTTGTTTCTACTGTATATAAAAATTAAATATTCAACTTTCGCATAGCATGACAACAAACTATTCATACCGATTTCCAGATATAAGTATGAACACGCCCTATTTGTTACTAGAGTTCGTTAGCATTCGAGAATAAGACAAGCGTAAATTTCGAAGTTTAAATGTCGATTTTCGTAAAAAGTGGCCCTGAAATATCGAAGCATCTAAATCATTTTAATAAAGACCATAGAACGCTACTCAGCAAAATATGAATAATTAGTTACAAGTATTATAGTTAAAAGCTATTTGTGTTCTAGCATCAATACGAAAGCTGATAAAGATGTTTGTAAAGCTGATAAAAATGTTTGTAAAGATGATAAAGATGTTTTTAAAGCTGATAATGATGTTTGTAAAGCTAATAAAGATGTTTGTAAAACTGATAAAGATGTTTGTAAAGCTGATAAAGATGCCTGTAAAGCTGATAAAGATGTTTGTAAAGCTGATAAAGATGCCTGTAAAGCTGATAAAGATGTTTGTAAAGGTGATAAATATGTTTGTAAAGGTGATAAAGATGTTTGTAAAATTAATAAAGATGCTTGTAAAGTTGATAAAGATGTCTGTAAAGGTGATAAAGATGTTTTTAAAGCTGATAAAGATGCTTGTAAAGATGCACAATTTTAGTTCTCCGGTGGCACAGCATTAGGCTGGAGGATTTATAACGTTAAAAGTTGAGGTTTTTCGATACCCGCGATGGGCACTGCGAAGATAGCCTAATGCTTATATTTGTGCTTAAAAAATATCCAAACACAGATCGTATTAACAAGTATCACCTTAACCTACAACTTAGAACATCTTTGTTTACAGTTGACAATTAATAGGATCAGCTATTAACATTAATATACTTAGGGGACGTTACTTCAAGTTGTACTTTTTTTTCCCTGCGATAACTTTTTTTTATTTTCAGGAAGGCATTATATGGACAGCCCACAAACTCCCCCAGCACAAAAGTAAGTTGCCTTCTGGTATAATACTTTAAAGCAATATTGTTTTCTAAAGCCATATATTGTTCTTACCTTATAAAACAGATCGAAGATTTACTTTTACATTGCTGAGCTTTGTAAAAAAGCTAGATGTCTTCAAAACTATACGTAGTTCATACAATGACTTAATACACAGCAAAGTGGCTTTTTGAAAACATCGTTTTCCATGCTTTCAAGTTTAATGCATTAAACTTTAAAACAAGTTATTTCCTAATTATTATTTCATCTAAAATAATGTGTTTGACGTATACATTAATCTTCGGAACATTAAATACGATTGAATCTTCATAACATGTCTAATTTTCGCCCACAGAAAGCAGCCACCGTCACCTCCCCCTAAGCCAAAACCTCCAATTCGTGGTCAAATCTTACAGCCACCACAAGACCCAACAAAGTCTCCATCTTTCTACTCCTATATTTCCGAACAACCTACAATTACGTCATCGTCATGCGCATCTCAAAGCATTATTTATTCTGATCAGTACACTCATCAGGAAAATAGCAGAACATCTACCTATCAGCAACAAAAACAGTATTACCAAATGATACAGCCCCGTTCTCCCGTTATTACTACTAACGAGTCACATCAGTGGAATCCATTATCATCAGCATTTGATTACCATCAACAAAAAAGTGTCACGCATACAAGTGATCAAGAAAAGTCTGCGCCACCTGTACCTCCTCGTCTTTCTCAGTCAACATATCAGAAAACGATAACAAGAGATCAGATTTCATACGCAAACTCAACGGAAGCGAGCGTTGAACATAAGTATAACCAACCAGTCATAAGTCTAACTAGTACACGTAAAACACAATCGTCATATCAACACCCAACTAGTATTCCAGCCTCTATCCAAGCTTTTCACTCAACTTCTCAGCAACCAACACCTGCACAACCTAGTTATCAAGAGCCAAACACTGTTACCAAAGTTGATTATCAATCTTACCAGCCACAAACCTCTGCACGTATTCAACCAGATTATCCGAAAACAAACACTCTCTCGGCTACTAAAAATGTTACTCAGCTAGAAATACATGCATATGGTCAACCTAATTATACACAACCAACTACTACCAATGTAAACCACACAGCTTATGAAAAACTAACACAAGTACCCATATCCACAGCTACAGTTTTCACTGAAACGAAAGGTATTCCACCATCCCCTACAACTGAACGTGTTCAACGGAACTATCAAGGAATAGTTCAACAGACCTCGTCTCCAGAACACCTCCAGAGACGACATTATTTCTCACAACAAATTCAAGAACAAAACCGTCCACAAAGTCAAACGTCTATGACCAGAATGTCACCCAGTCCATCTGCATCACCATCTTTGTCTCGTAGGTTGAGAACTGCTGAAGGGATCTGGCCACCCAAGGTGAACCTCTTTTTAGTTGATTACGTGAATGACTTGTATAAATAGATGTTGTGATATTTAAGACAACATATATAATCAGATATTAAAGAAGATGGGGAACTTATGCAGAGACTTATAATCTTGGATTGCGACGTAAGAAATATATACACAATAATTCCTTTAAATTTAATATTTAAATTACGTATTTACAAATAAACACCTAACAACTACTCAGGGTCACAGACAAATGGCACAGTAAAGTAGCTCCCTCTAATGGTAGCTATTAAACAATAATTTTTAGAAATATATATATATATACATTTCACATCACGGTCTGCAAGAGTACCCGGAAGGTGGTATTCTTTTACACCCTCTTAAACCTCTATATACATAATAGAATAGAATAGCAACCACATTTACTTTCAGTATTGCATCCAAAAACAGTGTTCCTTTATTTCATATTTTTCTAACAAAAGAGAAAACAAATAAAGCTCAAATTAAACGTTCTGTCGACAAACTATGTAAAAACCTTATGACCAGTTTATCAGAAAGATATACTCCATCCAAGTGTCACGTAAGATTCAACTAAGTCAAACAATTGATGAACTGACTAGAGACCAAACAAAAATTTAGATTTTTAAATATGTATATAATTCTGGTGGTTATTTTACCTTACAGAATCCTACTTCAAAACAACTACCGAGAATAGGGTTCCCGTCTGGCTGGACGAAAGAAAGTAAGTAGCATTATAGGTGCTCGTGAAGATGAAAGGGTTAACATATTCGGTGACGGGATTCAAACCTGCGAGCCGCAGATGTGGAGTCGAACGCTATAACCACCAGGCCGTACTGAATTAGTTGTTGAAACGTAGATCTCACTGATTATACAACATAGGACTTGTGTAGACTGTACTTCTTCTTAGAATTGAACCCAGTTTACTGATGAATTGCATCTCAACTGATTGAGGCCCGGCATGGCCGGGTGGTTAGGGCACTCGACTCGCAATCTGAGTGTGCGGGTTCGAATCCCTGTCCCATCATACATGCTCGCCCTTTCAGCCGTGGGGGCGTTATAATGTGACGGTCACTATTCTTTGGTAAAAGAGTAGCCCAAGAGCTGGCGGTGGGTGGTGATGACTAGCTGCCTTCCCTCTAGTCTTACACTGCTAAATTAGGGACGGCTAGCGCAGATATCCCTCGTGTAGCTTTGCGCGAAATTCAAAACAAACAAACAAACCTTAACTGAAGCATTTTACAAAGACGTATACTAGATTTTCTGATCACGAGCACCTATAATGCTACTTACTTTCTTTCGTCCAGCCAGACGGGAACCCTATTCTCGGTAGTTGTTTTGAAGTAGGATTCTGTAAGGTAAAGTGGGGTCGTTATAATGTAATGGTTAATACCACTATTTGTTGCCTTCCTTCTAGTCTATAACTTCAAAGTTAGGAAATGCTAGCGCAGGTAACCCTTGAGTAGCTTTGAGTGAAATTCAATAAACAAATAGTTTAGTACAGTCATTCAATAGATACGAATATATGAATCATGTGTAATTGGAAGAAAGAAATGGAAACAATAACTTCAACTCTATCATTCAATAAATAAAATCTTTCTAACATACGACTTTTGTAGAATCAGAAAGCAATACAAGTGACCAATTAGGTCAGTACGGTAAGTTAGTAATTAATAGTTCTTAAAATACATGAATCACTCTCAAAGAGCGGGAGAGAGAGAGAGATTACGTTACTTATTTCGTGTTTATGTAACATACGAAAAATTCTAACCATTCAATGAAGATAACACACACTGGGGTTTCTATATATATAGATGCATGTTCTTTGTATTTCTAAATATCTGTAAACATAAGCAGTACGTCCGTTAACTATAGTACTGAATGTTTATGTAAAATTAGAATTTTTTATTTAAGATTGTTTCTGAGACACAAAACAACAAGTGGGTATTTATCGTAAGTAACTATGAAATCTTAAGCTTTCTGGGGGAAAAAAACTCGTTTGAAAAGAATTAAAATTTTGCTTACTTACATTCCACTTCAGGCCTCACCTTTAAATAGTGAGTTCACAAATGTCATTATAATAATTACTTGCTTTAATTGTCATTTGCCTTCTGCAAGACATTTGGTACTATGGTAGATCACACAATCCCATCCGATAACTTTGTGATTTAATAACGTCAACATGATACGATACTAAGAGTACATTAGACTTGACTTATTTTGATATAAATTTAGTCCTTTGATATATAAATTGTTAGGTATCAAAATTTCGAATGGTCTGAATCTGGGTTAGAATATAATTTAGATTTAGTAGTTAAATAAATGCCGATATGTATCCAATTTATGATATTTGCCAACAAGATTGATAAACACGCAGTTTCTTTCTTAATACAAATGTTTTAATATATAAACAACAATAACAGTTATTACAAATCGCCCCCCCAGTGGCACAGCGGCATGTCTGCGGACTTACAACGCTAGAAACCGGGTTTCGATACCCGTGGTGGGCAGAGCTTTGTGTAGCTTTGTGCTTAACTACAAACAAACAAACAAATAGAGTATTACAAATCAAAAGTTTTACAAACTTACAAACAATATAAAGTCTTCTTTCTGGTCTGGCTCACGACGAGCAAGTTAATTTCGAGTTGATGTAGGTATAATTCACTTCTTAATATAAAAGAAATTAATTATTATAGTTCTATTTCCGCCTCGCATTTTAAATCATAATTTGTATAATAACAGTGGCCCATTTGTTCTTTTTGTGGAAGTATCTAAACAACTTATAAACTGAAACAAGAAACGTGTATTCTATATGTATAATGCTTTGTTTATTTTACAGGTAGCCATGGGAAAAAAACGACCTGGCCACCCATAAAACCTGGAGAATCTGATGATGAATCTGGTGGTCGTATTACACCAACCATCACTCCTCGGTCTGGCGCTATCGTGCATGCCTGGAATCCTCGTCCTTCGACTCCCCCTTGTCGCACTCCTCCATTTGCTGGAGGATCTCCCTTGTTGGGGCGTCGGAACAAGGATATTGCTTGGCCACCTCGGTTCACCGAAAAGCAAAATACCAAGAAGTCCACTTCTAAGCCTTTAAGGAAGGCTCATAGTTTTGAAGAATACGTTGTTCAACATGCTAGTGTTACTGTTCCTCCTACATATCGTCCACCCCCTCATGTTGACCATATGCAACCTACCAACACATAGGTAGAACATGTATAAACTTGAATTTTTTGGTGAATTATTAGAATTATAGAAATTTAGTTCCTTTATCATTTTCAATTATTTAAATATTATGTTTATTAAACTTTATGTTCTAAACATGCCTGTTTATCCGTAAAAAAATAAAGGCATTTTAGACTTTAACGTATTTGACAAAATTTCAAACATTTGTAACCTTTTCAGTTGTTTTCTGCCCCCCAGTGGCACAGTGGTATGTCTGCGGACTTACAACGCTAGAAACCGGGTTTCGATACCCGTGGTGGGCAGAGCACAGATAACCCTTTGTGTAGCTTTGTGCTTAACTACAAACAACAACAACAGTTGTTTTCAAGTTTCGAAAGATCGTAGCAGACCCCCAGTGACACAGCTGTATTGTCTGTGGATTTACCCCGCTAGAAACCGGGTTTCGATACCTGCGGTGGGAAGAGCACAGATAGCTCTTTGTGTAGCTTTGTGCTTAATAACAAACAACAAGAAAACATTACCATATACCTGTTCATACAACAAGTATTGGCAAAAACTGAAACCTAATTTTTTTTAAGCCATTTCTCATGTCATCCTTTTCGGTTTTTGAGAGAAATATATTTTTTACATCAGCTAAAAATTTCAATCCCAACTATCACAAACGAATAAAATATGCATTTGTCTCGTTGTATTTCATCGTGACACAAAATTCAGTTTTTTAAACTGCATGAAAACTTCTTTTCTGTCGAAAAATTGTTGACGAAATATATACTACGAAACACAAATGAACTATTTTCCGTTTTTAAAAGCTTTTATTTTTGCATTTCCTTATTTATGCCAGGTTTTCACCATAAATGAGGGAGACTACAAGAGACTTTAATCCCTCAGAAACAACCCTAGATATCAAAATAAAGGTAATATCCAATGTCTAAAAATTTGAGAATAAATGCGAGTGTGGCATTAGGTTATATTTCTAGCATGAAGTACTTGATAACTTAGTTTTTAAATAATTTTAATTACTATAAAAAGTGACGTCGATAAGCTGTATTCGAAATTCGCTTGGTGGATTGCACCGAGAGAGGGAGAAATATATATATGTGGATATGCTCTAGTTAGGTTAAAATACAATTTAAGTTAATGAAATTTGACTTTAAACTGAGAAATTCTAATCATGTAGTAACTTAAAAAGGCATTAAAGGTAAATATGATGAATGGCACATATAACTCTGACAGGCTAGTACGTAAGATGTCGTTGTATATTAGATTTTTTCTACCATAGTGTTCCTGTTTTATACAATAAACCTAGATCACAGTTACGCAAACATGTATATATGCATAGAATATTTATTGCGCCTGACTTTTGATTGGAACTTAAGATCAACGTTGCTTTGGTGCATAATTTATATTCAGAATGTTTTTAGTTTTGTGATGAATGAAAGTTTTTCTATACACAAATGGGTGAGTATGCTTATCCTATTGTAAATCCATGTGCGAGTGCACTAAATTATCGTAATTTTTGTTTCACCTTACTGTTTTTACAAAAGATAAATCCGATGCATTTACAGTTACAGAGTAAAAAATTATGAGTAAAATATGAACTTCATTTCTTTGTTTACTTTTTTTATCCCATTGTTCTTTTTCAGTGATGATTTATAATAACTTTAATTTATTCTTAATTGTTGTTTTTTCTGCTTCGATAACAGATAATATTTCTTCCCGGAAGTGGAGCGTTCTTCCTTTTATCAACAGTTATTTCCGTTGGCAAGGGCTGCTATCTCAAACATTTTGAACAATGTAGTTTCCTTTTCAAAGCTAAATCTTTCTTCTATATTATTAAATTTTAATCTTTTTTTTTGTAGTTTTCTACTTGTAGGCTATGTGTGGCTTGTGAAGTATAATATTATGTAGATATGTGGTTAAGTATATCATGTTCAACAACACTTTGATAATGTTTCACTGTTATATAATAATTGAAATAAATTACAGCCAATTACAGTCGTTGTGAATTGTATCACTTTCCATTTATTATAAATATGTCTTAAAAAATCAACACAAACCATTCTTACATGGTAAGGCTAAAAGACTTATTGGGTTTGTAATTACCTATGAAATGCCTCCAGTAACTCAGCGATAAGTTTGCAGGCTTACGACGTTAAAATCCAGGTTTCGATACCCGTGTTGAGCAGAGCACAGATGGCCCATTGTGTAGTTTTGCGCTAACAACAAACCAAAGTTTTTGGAACAACTATTAAAAGACAATAATAATTTTATAAATATTTTACAGTTACTATTGAAAAAAGTTCAAAACTTTGTATATACGTTTAAAAGATTTAGCATTTTTCCATTCGTCTCAAAAAATAAGCATAACCTTAGCTTAGGACCTGTTTCTTTCAGTCAATAATAATCTAAACAATCGTTGTAATAATTGGTCCCACTTCATCAAAATTGTCATTAAGAAAATAAATAAGGTATTTAATCATTTACCGATATTAACAGGAAATCACTCATGAATTTCTATTAATACCTTAATGGTTAGTTGATTATATAATCTAATCAAGGCTCACGAAGAATAACTTCGAGTCTTAAATCACAATGAATGTGAATACAACTTCAATATAAAGTCATGCTAAAGTATAGATGTAAAAATGTGATCTATATGAAAAAATATTTAATCATTTTCATACTGTAATACTATGAGCATATCGTTCTGAAAATGTTAGTGTCTTATTTTTTATCATTATCTTTTCTTATCATTAAAAACTTTATGTACATAAAAATCTGCTCAGCTTCCGCATAATTGCATCGTATACTTACTACTAAGCAAACACAGTTTTTGAGATTCTTTCTAATTTGCCAGTCAATTTTCTTTTCCTTTTATTTGACATCTTTAAAAACAAAATTTGGAAATTACAATAACATAAACTATGTTTTAATATTAACTCCATAAACTGATGAAATACAAAAAAAATTGTTAAAAGAAGGAAAATAGATTATCTGACAGATATGTATATGATATTTATTTCTTATATATGCACACGATGTTCGAACCTTTGCTTTAATAGATAGTTATTATAGACAATTGTGTTAAAACGCCAATAATATTTTAAAAATGTGAAGTTATTAATTTAGGTATATCTCAGGTATTTAAAAAAGCTCATGATAGTTACGAGAAAATAAATCCTGTAAAAACAAGATTCTTTACCAGGAATTAATATTATTTTATTCAACATGAAGCCCAAAAAAACGTTTCATAATTAGAACATACCTTAGAGACATATAGTGGTTTAACAAGAGATTAGAATGATCTGCACGTTTAAACATTTACCAATTTTTCCCCAGATATAAATGGACGACATCGTCAACTAGCTAATTAATATTTCTTACTCAACTGACCTCTAATTCATGTGATCTATATTACTTAAACATCTATAAGCTTTGTTCTAAGTCAGCTATTAAGCAGCTTGGGAAAGAAGGGTAACTTCATGACTTCCAAATAAGACAATTTGTAAAAGCCCAGGTTATAGTTGCTTCAGTGAATCGAATTGCACAACTATTATCGGCATGCGGTTATCCCCAAAAAATAAAAAAAATAAAGAGGTAAACGCTAACGGTGGTCAGGAGACTATCATGAGTGTATAAAAGCGCTATGCTCTATGTCGAATTTTCTCCGGACATAAAATCTAATTCTTTAGCATACCTTCCAAGAAATTCCAGTTGCCTATTGTAAATAACTAAAGTAATTCTATATATTTTGGATATTTCTAATTCTTTTATCCATGCTCTTTATACTGAAAAAACAATTGTTATTGGATGTGACACATTATCCAGAATTGATTACCTAGATGTAAAGGAAAAGCTTATCCAGCTCAATATAACACTGTGTCGTGTCCTATGCATTACCAGTAAAACTTTACCTATTCAAGAAACAGCATTTGCTAGCATCAGCTAGTAATGTGGAAATATTCTATGAATTATAATTATGTTACAATTAGTCATTTCAGCACAATAACTCATCTAAATTAAGTTTGATGTCTAACTAACTAACTCTAAACAAGAAAGGGAGACGAACCCTGGATTTTAGTATTGTAAGTCCATAAACTTACCACTGTCCACCGGGAGACAAAAAGATATAATCTGGTTCTGTTCACCATTTCAAACTATTTACCCTTAGTTAACATTATTAACTAAGTTTGAATTTCATCTCATTCTCCTATTTTTAATTATTATACTTAGCAGTCCCACAAGTATAGAGGAGATATGTCGTTACCCCTCTTCTAGCGTTAACAAAAACATAGCTTCTGATCGTCAACAAAGATTATAATTAATGTTGACCTCGAAGAGCATGCATAATAGAAAATGACATAATGAGGAATGATTGCTCTTGACAACCAGATTGTGTGTCTCACATGCACGACTGAAATACTTTAAACAATGTAAACAGAGTAACTTAGGAGCCACCTCTTAACCTCATAGTGGCTCAGCGGAAGATCGAGGACTTAGAACACTAAAATTAAGGGTTCGATCCTTGCGATTGGGCCACTCAGGTACCATATTGTGAATCCTTGCGCTTAACAACAATAAAAAAGTTAGGAGCTCTGACAAGAAGACACTTAACTATATTTATGTATCTTTAATTCTGTTTCACCTATTTGACATCCTATCTCTTTTATAAAATACAATAAAATTAGAACAATTGCAATATCGTATTATGTTTTTTTTTCTTTACAAAAACTCAAGATAACGAAGGCAGTCCAGAAAAGAACAAATACGTCTTTGCTGCCACATAAATAACACCCCCTGAGCCACTATGGGGTTAAGAGGGGGCTCCTAAGTTACTCTGTTTACATTGTTTAAAGTATTTCAGTCGTGCATGTGAGACACACAATCTGGTTATCATGAGCCACTATGGGGTTAAGGGGGGTGGCTCCTAAGTTACTCTGTTTACATTGTTTAACGTATTTCAGTCGTACATGTGAGACACACAATCTGGTTGTCAGAAGTTAAATGAGAAAAGTATTGCAATACTGACAAAGCATTTTGTAGAGCTATGTGTTTACGTGCGGTTCTAATTGTGTGAAAATGAATTATCTTTTCAATTATTAGTCGTACTTGAAGGATATATTAGAGTTATACTTTTTATTCTATTATCAAAAGCCAAACAAATTCGTGAATTATAAGATGTTTTTAGTTTAGAAGGACTATGAATAACTTGGAGTTAAGATTGAGCATACGGCTTTCTACGTGCATCAACTTTTGTTCTTTCTGTTCATAACTCTAACGCACGTGCACTCCTGGGACTCCTGAAATTGACCTGTTGCATCACAATAACAAACATTATCAATCAAGTCGCCTTTATTTTATTACATTAGCTATAAACATCCACCAAAATAGTAAATGTGTCCAAAATAATTTTACGGTAAACGTCATTTGAAGCATATGCAAAAAAGATTGGCGTTTTTGAACACGTGTGCGTGCGTGTGTGTGTGTGTGTTTGAAGTTAACCCAAAGCTACACAATGGGCTATCTGTGCTCTGCCCACCACGGGTATCGAAACCCGGTTTCTAACGTTGTAAGTCCGCAGACATATTGCTGTGCCACTGGGGGGCATTTTTGAACACATAAAAATGTATTCAGATAGAATTTAACTACCGGTAGATTATGTTTTGTAGGGCTTGTTAAAAGTAAGGTTTATTCAAGCCAGCTTATATCTCATATCAATTGAAGCCCCCCAGTGGCGCAGCGGTATGTCTGTAGACTTGCAACGATAGAGCCCTTTGTGTAGCTTTGTGCTTAACAAAATATCAATTGAATTTTAGTAAACAATCAATAATGTCACTTCATTTTTATTCTTCTTCACTATGATTGAAAACTGCCTTAAGATAAGATCCGAAAATTTGTTTCCAAATAATTGTACGTCAACTGAAATGTTTAATGAGTCGTCAAATCAAATATCATTGGGCATCTTCAGTTAAAGAAATCATCTTCAATCTTCTAAGTATGAGTTTAATATTATATTCTCTAGTGGCATGCATACCTCGTGACTTGACGTTTTCTACAGTGTAGGCGGTGAATTATATTATAAGGATTTTTATTTTAATATAGATTTTCTTCATCTTTCTACATCTCAAACTTTTGTCTAAGGGTCCAAAAACGAAGGATGTTCATATATGTACATGATATGTAAAACTTGAAGCATGATATTCACCCATAACTTAGCTTCCGCAATATCTCTACAACAACAAGACTTCAGGTAAGAACACAGGACAGTCATGTCCCAGTGAATATATTGGGAAACTAACTTACACGATATTCCTCAACGAGCATGAGTATAGCACTTATTACCAGCAGAATTTCCTTTCACGTTTGTCAGCCAGAGAACAACCAAGAACAACAACTTTCACGCTAATTAGCCAAAGATCAAACAACAACAACAACACCTTTCACGCTAATCAAGCCAGACAAATATGTAACACCTGCTGTGTGTGTTGTGATTCAAATAAACAATTTTGAATAGTTCAGTCTTTGTACAAACTAAAAAATAGATCGCTTAAAATTATAATTTTCATAATCATAGGGTGACTCAGAACAAAGGTGGTTATAACATAATT